ATCAGTAGTGTCTAGAGATGCACGAGTAATCCACAGTAAATGTTTCTGATGCGATTTTGGAAGTTTGTCCAATAAATCTGATGAATATCCTTACGAAGATAAGTGGTTTTACTTTCATAGTTGTGCTTTTATTATAAGGAAATATTCGTATCGTAGTGAATAGAGTGCATGTGAGCTGGTGAGTTATAAGCATTTAGAATTTCACTGGAGATGATCTTAGACCCGCTCCTCTTCCTGATGCTTAATAATAGACTTGCTGGATAAAATCAGCTCAGAGGCATTGATCAGTGCAAACGACGCAAAGATCTACAGGGTTATAGGAAGCGTCAAAGAGATTTTACAAAAATAGGGGGGTAAACAATGGAAAACGACCCTCAACCAGTCAACATTTTAACATAATATACATTCTGCCCCATACAACACAATAAACTCATGTCCTCCATGGAAGTCAGCACCAAATGTATAATCCGGACACACCCTCGGTCTGTTGACCTCAGAAATCTGGAAGCCTGTTATCAATTCGTAGGGGAGCAGCCAAAGCAATCACAACTCTACAGTTTATTGGAAGACGACTTGGTACTACTACCCTAGAAATCCCGATAACTCTTTGAACATACGAATGGCCACGCCCTGATGTTCACAAAGTAACCAAACTCTCAATTCGTACCCAAAGAAGAAGTGAGTGAAAGTAAATCAAATGTTTATATTAGCTCATGATGAATATATTGGATATTGAGTTATCAGATTAACAACTGCTGAGCTCATTTTAATATCGGCGTTACTATTGTTTTTCTTGGGGTTCCGTTATCTTCATTTTGGCATGCCTATCCACAGACATATTATCAAAAATGTCGTTCACAATTACACGGATGCTGAAAACAAAGTTCGTGAAGCTACATCGAACGATCCGTGGGGTCCTAGCAGCACCTTAATGGCTGAAATAGCCGACAAGACTCACAATGTTTATGGCATTCACAGAAATATAATGCAAATGACTTGGAAAAGACTCAATGATAAAAGTAAAAATTCGGCGTCATGTCTATAAGTCTCTTGTTCTCTTGGAATACTTGACCAAAGACTGGTAAGTGAATAAAGTCGCTACCCAATGCCGAGAAATATTCACACTATAGAAACATTGCGAGTAAGTCCTCCGTAGTTACACATATTCAGAGTTGCTTGTACGATTTACTTTTGAGCCACTTTATTCAGTCCACGCCTTTCCACCCAGTACGAAGCTAGGGCGCAAAGGAGCTAAAACTCCGCAGCTAAATTGCTTTATATGGACTAAGTTGTTTCGTTAACTGTTAGCTACAGTTGAGTCTTTTTGTGTTCCTATGACGGAACACAAAAAGACTCGGATTTCCTATTGTTTTCTTTCGATCTGTTCTCCCGCATTATGGCTTAACTGGTCTATTGTGTAGAAAGCATCTGAAGAGAACGTTAACGGTTTATCGAGCTAGGCTACTGTTCACGGGCAACTCTTTAGCTATCCTAAAACGAGTTTGAGAAAATTTGACGGTTCACAAGTGCTGAAACGGTTGTAAAATAGTATGAGGAATCGGAATAATGAATTATATTTTGAAGCTAGAGTTTTTGGATTAGAGTTAATATGTTCATCGTGGACTGAGATAAGCTATGATGGCCTAAATGCCTATCGATCCGTACAATTGAATAAATCACACTCATAAATCCACGTATCTGTGTTTAATCTGGTTCGCTCATTCACCAATAGTAGCCTCATCGCTTGATCGCAAAAAACAGAATAGTCTAACTCTTCCGAATATTTATTTCAGATACCCTTGTAATACTTCATTTACTATCGTCAAACCGTAATCTTCTTATCCTGAGGAAGTGCATTTTACCTTGTTAAATCAGATGTTAGCTTGTCTGTGTAATACTTGTGACTGCTAGTAACAACAAATATGGATTAGTTTTCTCAAAGCATATCGAATTATTTATGGACATAAGTGGGTTTATATGTTTATGGTTTGTGGATGTAGTTAAGTTTTACTGGAATAAGCTTTCGTTTATTTGTTAAGGGACCTCACATAAGTTTACGATACCGAACAAAATTGACAAGTTAACAAATAATTTCCATCGACTGAATTAGATGGTGTGTCTTACTTTCTCCCAACCACCGCCTACTTGTAGACATGATGTAGATTAAAGCAGTAATGGCTTGGAAGAGGCTACGTAATGTCATTCTACGAAATCACCAAATATTGGACTGGACTGTGTTGACAAGTGAAGACTATCTGATTGGATTCCACAAAATAACTGTGATCAGTAGTCGGGGGCAGTCAGTCAGTCAGTCAGATGCAACGTAGAACTTGGTACGTAAGTACATCAGTTCATGTTGCCATACCACATCAGCACAGAGATATAATTGTCAATTCAAATCCAATAGTAGAAGAGGTAGTAAGGGAATTAGATGTAGACATTAACACCGTTGGATGCCGGCCCAGTGGTCCGATGGTAAGGCGTTCGCCTACAATGCCAAAGGTCCCGGGTTCGAATCCTGCGAGGAGCAGGAGTCGTGGATGCGCACTGCTGAGGAGTCCCATACTAGGACGAAACGGCCGTCCAGTGCTTCCAGGTTTCTAATGGTGGTCTAACAATGATGATTGATTAATGATTTCGAATTAGAAGTAATCGGAGAGGTTAGGGTTAGAAGATATTATTCAAGAAGTATGATTCAGTGAGAAAAGTTTAGAAAGTCAAAACTAGAGGTGTTGAAGAATCCAGAAGATTAGGATTTCAGAGAACACAAAGAATAAGTGCACCGGCGCCATTGCGAACGATTTTGAGCCATGTCATTCAAGGTCTCTAACCATTGATTATTATCATTTTGCGGACCCCAACCAGGTAGTCGACAATTACCGACATGGCTAAGTCCACTCGTCAATGACTTCATGGATTTATGCCATATTTTGGTCTGGCCGCCCCTCACTTTCTTCCAACCTATTCCTACACTACAAAACAAGGCTCGTCGAGGCAGTCGGTGGTTGGGCATACGCAACACATGTCCCAACCACCTCAACTGATGAAGTTTCACCACTTCATTTATTGATCTGCCATCCTTACCTAGTACTCGTTTCCTAACGACAGCATTGCTCACTCGGGTGTCGCACGGTATACGCGCAATGCTTCGAAGACACCTATGATCGAAAACTAGTAGCTTACGAATATCTTCTACTCTCACTGGCCATGTTTCACAGCCATATAGGAGAACAGAGCGAACTGCTGCACAGTACACTCGTCGTTTGATTAGAGAACGGATATCACGCCTACGCCATAAGTGACGCAGGTTGGCAAAAGCCAATCGAGCCTTCTGTATCCGTGCCGAGATTTCGTCAGTCACCAGGCCATCGGCACTGATGAGACTCCCAAGATAAGTGAAGCGGTCTACACGCTCGACTACTTCACTCCCTATCACTAGTTCAGGTGCCGATGAAACCCAATCTTGAAGCAACATTTTGCATTTCGAGGGGGAAAACCGCATCCCGAACATGCTTGCATTGTTGCTCAGGGTACTCAGAAGACTCTGCATTTTGTCAGCGTCTTCACCAAGTAGGACAATGTCATCGGCATATTCTAAATCAGTAAGCGAGCCACCTGGTAGAAGGTCTACTCCAGAAAATTCAGACGAGGATAAGGTTACTTCTAGGAGCATGTCTATGATAAAATTAAACAAGAATGGAGAGAGTGGACATCCCTGACGGACACCACTTGAAGTAGCTAACTCCGATGACAGTTCGCCATAAGCTCTCACTCGACTAGTGGTGTTCGAGTAGAGAGCTTGTATAAAGTTAATGTACTTCTTTGGTACACCTTTCAATGACAGACACTGCCACAGAACCTCACGATCCACTGAGTCCAATGCCGCCTTAAGGTCCAGGAAAACAACTATTGTAGGACGCCTAAATGTGTGTCTATGGTCCAGGACCTGTCTGAGTGTGAAGACGTGGTCTACACAGCCACGTCCAGGTCGAAAACCGGACTGGTTTTCTCGAGTCTGCTCTTCACGAGCACTAGTTAGGCGT